CGATGAATAACTCAATTTGCAGAGCACATAATAAGAAACCTTATAAGCTTGTATTTGGTAGAACTCCACATGTCATTCTGCTGCACTTGATCAGTTGTTTGAAACTAGTATTTTTTCTGAAGATGAAATTCCAAATGAATTTGGATTAAAAACTATTCAGGAATCAGTTAACGATTTGGATGATTTAATTAATAACATTAATTTTACACCTATAATGGCAACTGAGCCTTCAAGTTTAACATTAGATCAAGATTCAAATATAGAAATACTAAACAACTTAGTTAATGATAATGATGATCATGACATGATAATAGTACATAAGTTTAATTTTGTTAGCATGCATATTTATTTATTTCTATATTAATATAAAACAAGATAACTACGTATACTAATATTAATTTAATAAATTATACTGTATAGTCATTACAAGACTTAACAAATCAACTATTAACAGGACACCAAATTTTAAGAAACTTCGCTTGTCAGAATTTAGAAATCTATACAACAAAGATATCATCTGCGATGGCTGCAAAATCAAAGCGTAGATTGGAATATGAAATTGGGAAATATGTAAAAATTCTCATTTCTAAAATTGATTGATTTGACACAGATCGGCCCATCTTTCCATACAAAATTTTAAATAAGTTAAATTATAATGATATATTTAAATACTGTCTTGGGTACAAAGACGGCACATTGAATAATCTATATTGTGCAGGAGAAATAGAACTATTAGGTGTACAAGAATTTCCAGAGTTAAAAAATATCCCAACAAATTATATATCTGTTAGAGAAGCAGCATGAAACCAGAATGCTAGTGCACTTACAGGAACAATGTGCAAATATAAAGGTAGCTGTAGTACTAATAAATGTCATTGCAAAAAAGCTGGTATTAAATGCGGAAATAAATGCTATAGTAGAAATACATGTGATAACAAAGCTCAAATTTAAAATATATATTAAATAAATTATTTGTTATTTCTGCTTGATGATTTTAATTTGACGCAAAATATAAATTTGAATCTTACACATCTCAAAATTAAAATTCAATCTGATGCAACTCAGTTTTAAACCTATATATATTCTAATTTTATATACAACATATATATTATAATTGTATAATAATTATATATGTTCAATATTATTACTAATTCTATTTCTGAACTTATTTTTAACTCAGCACTAGATTTATCTAGCGACCAAACTTGTAAGCTTATTAAGATAATTCAAAATCATATAGCCTTTAATAACATGCAACTTAGACCTCATGAACTCTTTCTAGATATTACACTCAAAGGTCTTATCTCTATTTCTCTAGTTCAAACTATCCAAAAGTTCAATATTCCATATAAACTAGCATCTCAAACTATTATCAAAATTTTACTCTGAATTAATAAACTAATTTACGAACAGTTATAGAAACTTTACTGCTGCAACTTTTCAAATTAGAAAAAGCAAAACGAAATCACTTCATCTTATAATCAATCTCAATTACAACAATCTAGAAACAAAACCTTAAAACAAATTCGCAAAGTCTATACTTACTCATGCTAGTGCAGTCAACTAGACCAATTACATACCAACAACTCCTGTCTACCACTAGGCAGGCTATTTGCAAACTCAAAATTTTTAATATACTATAGATTAACTATAGTATATTTTCTAATTATATTCTATCTATCACAATCTAGATGAGTCTTTGACCACTCTAGTAGGTTTAGGTCACAAATAAAGTAGTCTGAGTTTTATTCTTGCATGTAGTTTTTACTTTTTATATTTTATATATTTAAAGGTTAGCAACTCACTATAGTTACTATATTAAAAGCTATTAATAAAGATATGAGCAAGGTCTCACCTTAATACTAAAAAAAAAAATAATAATTATATATGCTTATTTGTACTAAAGATTAACCTATATGTTTATTGGTTTATCATTTTTTTAAAAAAATTTTTATAAAAAGTAATTTCTCTATTAATTCTTTTTAAAAAATTAATATATTTTTTTTTTTCAGTATATTCTGTTACTATTTTATTAAAATATTAAAATACAAATTAAGCAAAAATTATAAGAATTTTTAACTAAAGTTACTATCTATTAACTACAACAAGTAACTTATTTAACTTTAAAAACCCAAGTACAACAGGATCCCAAAGATCTTTGATATAACTCAGAGGTTTCTAAAAAAAGAAATTTTGCGTAGAAATTCATCAAACATTGTATTTTTATATAGTAAATTTTTTAAATTTTGGTCTATTTTATATGCCTATTTGGCTGATATTATACAAACTCAGATCTAAGTTGTATCAGAGATCTTTAGGGTCCTAGTACAACATTGTCTAGTGGTTGATTTGCCTTCCTTCAGGTTTTTAACTTTCTAGAGATATAAATCTTTTGATTATTAGCCAATGCTATTATCTTTTTTTTTATAGAAATAAAATACAAACAAATTCAAAAAGCAAAAAAAAAAGAAAAGATACTTTGATGTTCAAATTTGATTCATCTAATTAAATAAAACCAAAAAAAACATATAAAGAAAAAACAAAATAAAAAAAAAGAAAACAAAGATAGTACTATTAAACTTGTACTAAATTATAAAAATTATATAGTATTATTAAATAATCTAGTCAAGCTTTACACTAATTATTTATATCTATATCTAGAATATTAAAAGAGAAAAAACTATCCATTCTTAAGTAGAGATCTAAGTTTAAAATTTTTATTCCATTCTCTTGTTAAAACTTCTACAATATCACTCAAATATAGTTTCTTATAAGTATATTTTTATCTTAAAGTAAATATATACATGTGTATATGTATTTTCTTTTTTAATAGTAATTATTGGTATTGATTCTTTGATGGAGATACACTGAATTTCTTACTTTTTGTTAAAATTTCAAAAAACATAGTAAGTGAGATAGTAAAAAGAAGCTTGGTTTGCAAGTAGCCTTAAATTTTGATAGGAAATATATTAAAAACTTACTTGTTGTTCCCTTTTTTTAGACTAACTACTTTTATTTTGTCAACAAAAGCTATGCTTCTATTAAAATTTTTTATACAAAGATACTATCTTCTTGCTAGTTATTTTGTACAAGAATGCTTTAACTTGTTGCTAAATATATAAAGGAGTTCAGAAGGAAGTAGAAGTATCTTGATCTTTGTAAAAACTATTACTTGTAAGGGCTTCCAGAAATTAGCTGATTAGGGTTTACTAATACAGTCAGGGAATTTACCAAAAATGGATATTGAAGATCGCACCTTTTATAGTATAAAGATATCGATCAGTAGATTCTAGATTTTACGGCACATGACATTAACCAATCAAATTGATC